GCACCTTTTAGGTCACGTACTTAAAAGGAACAGCATGCCTTCCCTTTCCTGTTTGTCCTTCTAACCACTGGCTGGAAACAGACCAAGAAGATAAGGGTAAAGCTTTGAAATGTAGTCTGGGTCCTCATAACTTTGTGGAGGAATCAAACTGGACTTTATGTGAGAAGCAAACTTTTATTTCACTTAAGCAAGTGAGTGTTTTGTCATTAATTGAGTCTCTGTCCTGGAGGCTAAATGTACATCCTAAATAATGTGGTATTCTGTTTTTATCCATAGTGTTTTCATTGGCTATTTTTTTTCCCAGAAGTAGATTGACAGCTCCTTCCTCCTAGTCTGTCTTAGTCTGTCTAAAGTTCAGCTCTGCTGAAACCTGTCCACCATGAGACGTGATCTGCTGGGATTTGAAATACTAGTGGCATAGCTTCCAGCCTCATAGCAACATGCAAACTGGCACAGGACAACTAACTGGCAGACAGGTGGTGGCGCAGGTATAACCTTTTGCATAACCTTCTGTTATACATAAGGTTGCTATGAGTTTGCACTGATTTGAAGGAAACTTAACAATAACTAACACAAGCGTCAAGAAAGGCTTTTATCAAGGTGATGCTTGAGCTGAATTTAAAAACTGAGTAGGATTTCACCAGTTTGGCAAGGAGGGAAGGGCTCTCAAGACTGAGGAAACAGCATGTGCAAAGATAAAAAGTTTGTCAGAATGGCTGAGGGATGCTCATCAAAGAAGCTGGAAAGGTAGCTTCATAGAGGACCCTGTCTGGCCAGCTAAAGATTGGTATTTTGCCCTGTAGAAAAGGAGAATAATACACTATTTAAGGGGGGTAGTGGAGGATGAAAGGAAGATTAAAATCTCGCAGCTCACACACTAAATAACCAGGGATAATCAATCTCTTTTACAAGAGAGGAAATAGAAATCCAGAAAGGCTAATTGGCATTTCTAAGGCCACAAAGAGAGTCAGAGGGAGAGGTGGAATTAGAATCAGTGTTTTTTCTATTATACCAGTGTTTTTCAAACTGTGGTCCTTGAATTGACTACATCAGAATTATGTGGGTTACCCATGAGCAAATTCCTAGGTTCCATCCTAGACCTAATGACTCAGAATCTCCGAGGATGGGTTCCAGGAATTTGCATTTCTAACAAAGACTTCATGTGCTTGAAACCTGAAATTTTAAAACAAAGCCAAGTATGTGAACTCTAATGAAAGAAAGCGTTTTAGGTACCAATTCAGGAGACTGCTCTTGACACATATCATCTCATTGAATCCTCACAAGCACCATTTAAGGAAAGGGTTACTATCGCCACCTCACAGATGCAGAGATCAAGGCCAAGAAACAGTAAGGACTTACCTAAGCTACAGAGATAAAAATCCATCAAATGTCAAAGTCTGTCCCTATTTGTTCAACACAGAGAAGGAAGGACTAGCAAACACAGTGCCTGAGAGACCATAACTGACATTAGTGTCCATGTAAATTATGTTTATTTTCCAGATTGGAACACTCTACAAAGTAGTGGATACATTTTTGAGGGTCCCAAACAGTAACCAATAGGGTTTCTAGGATTATTTACCTCTTGAGTAGATTTAGCATGCTTTTTGCTGAGTTTGAGACTTGCTCCAACAAACTTTTCACATGACTTTGTTTGATCTCACCCCAGAATTATGGACATAACCTAACTTGCAAGCTTTGGTTTCTTTTCCGTATGGAGAAAATGGAGACCAAGTATTTAGAAGATTTTCTTTTTCTTCCTTTTTAATAGATACTGGCATCAATAAAGGAGCTCTGGTGGCATAATGCCTAAGGTATTTGACTGCTAACCAGAAGGCTAGCAGTTCAAACTCACCAGCCACTCCTCGGAAGGAAGGTTGGGCAATCTACTTCTGTAGTGATACCGCCTTGGAAATCCAAGGAGGGGTCTCTGTGAGTCAGGTCCGACTCCATGGCAGTGGTTTGGTTTGGTTTGGTTGGCATCAATAAAACAAAGATTCATTTTTCTCTTAAAACTAAAACTTAAGTTCCTTCTATAATCCAATGCCTAACTCTATTTTACAAAACATCTGTCTAAATCAAGCAAGAAAGGTCATTACACGATCTTTGTGTATACACATTTGCATTATCCCATGGAATTTTACTCTAAGAGAAATGAAAGATTATGTGGGTTCTAGACATTTCAATTTTCATTAGACTATTAGACTCCTATTGAAGTCTGCTAGAGAAGTTTCAAAGTAACAATACCAAGGGTATACATTAGGGAAAAAGCAATCTTTTTCTTTCCATTTCTTTTCAGTTTTGGTACAGTCACTTTGGAGATACTAAAACAAGTTAAAATGCTAAAATTAAATGTTTAGAAGGCACATTATTCAATAGAAAACCTAAATTTTAATCATTTGCTTTTATACTAGAAACTACTATTTTCCTACCACATGTAAAAATCAACATTTGATTTAACTCAGATTAACTGAGGGTCTTTTTTTTTTTCTTTTTTTTGTAGTGCAAAAGACCTCTTTCAAGTGAGGAAGAGCAAAGATGTCTCCTTGAAGACTAAGATGTTCCTAAACCCAAGCCATGGTATTTTCAATTGTCTCATGTGCATGTCACTGCTGTCAAGTTGGATCCAACTCTGGTGGTGTAGTGCCTAAGGCATTTGACTGCTAACCAGGAAGCTGGTGGTTCAAACTCACCAGCCACTCCTCAGAAAGAAGATTGGGCAATCTACTTCCGTAGTGATACTGCCTGAGAAACTCAAAGAGAGGTTGTTATGCATTGGATTCGACTCTACAGCAGTGTGGCTT